TGGGGCTGCTGTGGCTTCGTGCTCCATGGCGGCGGCACTGCCGCTGCTGTGGGCCAGATAAAATGGCTTGGTGGGCCGCATGGTGGCCCGCGGGCCGTATGTTGGACAAACCTGCTATAGAGGGAGAGTTTTGAACTGGTTATTTAGACCCATTTCATTGTCACTTCCTGCAACTTCACTGGTGTCAAAGGTCACGTAACATCACTTCCTGATGTGATACCACTTCCTGTGAGGTCTTTGACTGACTCGTCGGCCCACTGGGTGATAAAGTTTGTGATCCGGCCCCACATTCAAAAAGGTTGGACCCCCCTGCCCTAGCCAGTCCTGATATCACCCAACACTGCCACCCAGAGCCTGGGGCTGATCCCCCCAAGCCTGCTGTTAGCCCAGGGCTGCTCCGCCTTGGCTCAAACTGTAAACACTGCATCTGGGAGCAGCTGACTCAGGCTTGAACTGCTGTGTGCTTTATTGGGTCACGTTAATTCATGTGTAGTTGCACCCACCTTAGACTTAACAAAAATATAAACCCCTCAATACAAAGTAAATACTTTATAATTTAATAAACTGTTGGGGACCATCCCTGTCTCAACGTTGACTGTACAGAGGAACAAAAACTTAATTTGTAGAGTCTGACCAATGTATTACAAAGAGATTATTATGATTTTTTGCAAATTCCAACGCTATTGAACATTTTTTCCAAAATGCCATTACAGACATTGTAAAGGGAAGTCTTGATTCTTTCAGAAATGTTGCCCTGCGTGCCTCAAAGATTCAGGATTTTTCTTTCCATCTTTTAGAGATTACTTTTAAGGGCAAACACCTTTGCATTCTGAATGAATGAATAACGCACATAACAAAACATTACGTATATTTGAGATACATCGTTGGAGCTTGCTGAAAGTGTGTTTGGAGTAAAATCTTCCTATGGCATCATTAGAATTTTCTGCTAACATCTTATTATCTATGGGTTATTGTGTCAAAGAGTTTCACAGAAAAATTGTGCCTTATATAAAAAAATATTTTCTGTAACAAATTTTGATTTTGCCGCCAATTTATGAGTTTTAAACATTCTGGCATCTAGAGAGCTTGGGAGGAGGTGCAGTTCTCTGCCAATATGCTTTCTACTATCTAAGTTTAAAAGGTCTGTTAACTCACCAATAAAGATTCAAAATAGTTTTTATTTTAAATGCATCTTTTTTACTTTTTACCTCTAATAAGTGCTTGGAACTCTCTGGTTTTGACGTGTCCCCTCTGAAGATCAATTTTTAGTGTTAGAAGAAGGGTAAACAGGAATTTGTGGTTTTCATACAAGCCTCTGACAGAGTACATATAAGTTTCATACGTAAGGTATTCAATAATATTTGAGATTCTTTTCTGAGGCAAAGGAGACTTCTCAGATCTAAAGCATGAAAAGAAAACACATAGAAATGGTATAAATAATATTGATATTAATTGTAATCAAAAGCTAAATGTTCCAATCATAAATAGATCTGTATTATCATACTTGGCCATGGACTGGTCAAATAACTTTAAGAACTGGGCCAGTGAAGTTTGGTACATGTTATTGACCATGCTCATTTCTGTGATAAGAAAGTAAAGAATGCTTCCTCGTGTAGCAGCAGGTCGATATTCCTCTTGTGCAGTATTTATCTTCACTTGAGTTTCTCCTGCCACATATAACTTTTCAGCTACCTCAGCTGCTGTTTGTTTAGTTGTTCGCAGAACACCAATCAAAGATTCATCATCTACTAAAGAACCTAAAAAGTTAAATATAAAATATATTTAGAATTGGTTTTAGATTTTCCACATGCATGGTTTTAAGTGAAAATTAAAATGAAAAAGTTATTTATTAAGAATGGCCTACTGAATTTCACAATTGCAGACCAAATAAAACAAGTACAGAATCAAAATACTAAGTTTTGTATACTAGAAAATTGCACTGATGCAGCTTATTCTGACATAGCTGTACCTTGGCTAACTGCAACTGTGCAGTGTATCTACAACAGACACCATTCTCCATCACAGGGGTCGGCAACATTTTTGGGTAGAGTGCTAAAAACACCTGCAACCTTGACTTCTTAGAAGTTGGTGCCAGGGGTGGATGGCAAGGTAGCTGTGAGGGGCCCAATTCTTTCTGTGGCAGTGCAGCCCCAGCCCCTTACCCACCATCCACCCCAAAGCGCATGTGCCAAGCAAAATGTCACATGTGCCAGGGGTTGCCTACCCCTGCTCTATCATATGTTCTGAGCATGCTCCATCCACACACAGCACTCTTAAAAACTATTTCAGGATCTCTGGACTGTTGCACTGAAAGTCAACAGGACTAAAAGGCTTCTAAATAGCTTAGATTCTTTAAAACTATTATTCTATATCCTATAGAAAGTTACTGTACACCAGCAGTTTTAAATCTGCCTAGTTCCATTAACTTTAATGAAGCTACCTACATTTTCACAAAACCTGAGTATCTGTCATAAGCAGTTTTGAATCTTTATGTTACAGTCTTATTTACATTCATTAAACTTCCCCTTCAGTGGCAGTGACAGTGTTTCCACCCAGGTCAAGGCTTCTTTTTTTTTTTTTTTAGTGTCAGAGCAATGCCTCTCTCAGTAGAGGCACTAACATACCAGTTAACTAGCTTTTACCTTCTCCTTTAAAAAGATACCTCAGAAAGGGTCTGTGTACTAACTCACAAACATACTCCCGAGGAAAGGAGCAAAAGAGACAGTCCACCAAATAATGCTCAATCTTTATTCATGTATTCTGCTCCTAGATGTGGTGTCAGGGTTCAAACAGAGTCAGGGTTCTGATATGGTAGCCCAGTTTCAGCTGCAACATGCCTCCAGGCTTCAGGAGGGTAATAACTTAATTAGGTATAGATTAGGTCAAAAAGGGAAACTGGTCCCTATACCAGCATATAGGGGACAAAATGATCGCCCCCAGTTTGGATAATTCATTTGGGTGTTGAGGATCTTCACAAAACACAGAAATGAATTCTGACCCAGGGTCTCTGAGTAGGGTGGCCATCACAGTCCAGTTGGCCTCTATCCTTTATTGATAAGAAACCCAATGCCTTTATGTCTTATAGTTTTTTCTTCAAGAGAAAAATAGAGGATGTAAAGGCGTCGGGTTTCATATCAATAGAGGACAGAGGAGAGTAGCAGAAAACTGGAATGTCCTCTATGATGGCCACCCTAGTTCTGAGATGACAATAAAACTGTTTCACAGCATCTATAACATCTTAGAGCCAGGTCTTTTGGACTCTCTCAGTCTCAAATACATCTTGCCCCCATGAAGTTTTCATTTTTACAAAGAGAAAGGAGCCCTATGAGACATTCCCAAATCCTGCCTTTCCATTTGTACAGAACTGTGTCCATTCTTGCCCATTTGTAGAGGTCCACTTAATTTGTGGTTTCACAGATTTCACAGAAACCATGAAATCCAGAATTGTCTACAAAATCCATGAAATCAACAAAAAAACCACCTTAATAAAAAATAAAATGCTGGCTCCCTAGTGGGAGCCAGTGGTCTTCACTGCTGGGAAGGGAAAGCACCAGCTGAAGGGGCAGCACAAAGGGCAGTAGGCAAGATGGCTGCTGCCCCATCATCCCTCCTGCCCCTCCAACAATCAACATCGAGGGGCAGGGTCACACAAAGGGCAACCAGAAATCAAGATGATGGCCACCCCGTCATCCCTTCCCACCCCCCACCCCCTGGGGCCTCTCTGCCAATCAGTGCTGAGGGACGGGGCTGCCATGAAATGACTGCAGAATGAGAACTTTATGCCATGATCAACCTGTGAAAATTGGTAAATTCCCCCATGATTTAGGTAGACTCCTACATATAAGCTCACAGAAACAAGGTTCACTTTATGAATGCAGGACTGGTCAGCTTCCTCCACTAGAGTGGTGGTTCTCAACCTTTCTGGACTCAAGGCATCCCTCACTGAACTGAAGGCACCCCTCACTGGATTTGAAACAATCCTCCATATCTTTTGTGAACTGAGTGGCATACAATTTCAAAAATTAATGTATAGATTACAGCGCTTACTTTCTTGCAGAGGGGAATGGCAGGGGGGCTGGGGGATCTTTCAGGCAAGGACAAGCCTCGGACTGTGCTTATCTGTTTAATTTATCTGCTTACCTCGTAACACCTTACTTATATCTCCTCATCTCATGGATCCCTTCAAAATACCCAGAGGCACTTTTGGGTGCCCTGGTTGAGAATCACTGCTTTAGAGGAGGGATTGGCAACATTTTTGGCTGGAGTGCCAAAAACACCCCAACCCTGACCCACGCCTTGACTTTGCATGCCAGGGGCAGACCGTGGGGAGCTGGGAGGGGCCTATCCTCATTGCCACCAGCAGCTGCATACGCACCTCTGGGCAGATGGCAGAGGAGGAGCCAGGGTTGCACTGCTCCAGGCCCCTCCCCTGCCATTCACTCAGAGGTGCATGTACAGTTGCTGCTGGCATGGAGTCCAGCCAGGGCTCTGGAGCCCAGTGCAGCTGTCTGCAGCCTCCCGGCTGCAGCCTGCCCCAGCTTTGGGCATCTTCTGCCAGTCATGGAGCCTGGGTTGCTTGCAGCAGAGCTTGTAGCCTCCCAGTTGCCTTCTGCGAGCAGCCCAGGCTCCATAGCTGGCAGCAGCTGCCCAGAGCCTGGGTCGGCTGTGACGTGTTGAGCAAAATGGCCTTGCGTGCCATGCTCTGGTATGTGTTGGGGGCTGCCAACCCCTGCTTTAGAGTGTAATCTTGGTTTTGTTTAATCAGTGCCTCTGTGGAAGGACTTTGATGTAAACCACCATTTTATTTTCTTTACAAAAATCTCATATTCTCATATTTTGCATATTAATACAGAACCTTTAGTTGCACTTAGTTTGTAGAGAAGATTATCTTCAAGTTCTTTCATCTTCCTCTTATTAAAAGTAACATCTTCCATGAGTTTAATTCGTTCTGCTTCGAGCTCCTATTGTCAAAAACCAGTTGTTAAAATTGCTTATAGATAGTACTAGTGTATTATATTTAAAATACACTTTTCCATATTTCACTTTAGTAGAGTTTAAATTGTATTCTTCAGTTATTTTAAGTTTTCACATTTTGAATGAACGGTATTTGCATAATGATCTTTTATTTATCTGTTTAACCAGTGTTTTTTCTGTGTTCATCCATCTTAAAGTATCTCACTAATGTCTACTGCCAATATGCAATTATTTCTAATGCCAGTAGAAAATCCAGAAGTACATATTTCTGTTATTTAAAAAAATCCAATCTGAAACTTAATAAAATGTTCTAAAATGGTTTGTCATTCTTTGCTTGCATTTTCCTTCTTCCAATACTACTAAAAGCAGTGGGATAAACCACAAGTAAGCATCACTGCACTTTGTTCATCTTAACAGCTTACCTGTTTCTCAGTAAGAATTACTCTTCTTAGTAATTGATTTTCAAGTCCCTTCATCGTAACAGTAAAATCAATAACTGATGTTTTAGCATTGATCTCAGGTGTGAAAGCTGGATTGGGTAGTTTTGTAGTAATGTATAGCTTAAATGTATTCATTACATCTATTTCTTTATCACCAACTTTCACCTGTAGAATAAATTAAACAAGTGCTAAACAGAAAAAAAATAATTTACTTTCAATCAATCATGTTAACTGACCACATAATAGACCAAGCAAAAACATGTTAATGTTGGAAATATTAAACAAAGAAGACTATTGGTATATTTAGACCTTATATTTGCTATGAAAATAAAGTTATCTCTGTAATGTTCAAGAACTAAAGGTAGTGGTTAGAGGCCATGGTGAGTTATAAAAGTATTAGCATCTAAATACATGGAAAGAGT